TTTCTTGTTATTTATTATATTAATTCAATTGAATTGCCAGAAAAACACAGAATTCACTTTATTATCATTTAATATTTTAATTGTTTGAATATTTCATATAATTATTTATAAAATTCAATTATGAATTTAATGTATAAACAAAGATTATATAATTAAGATTGAAATAAACCAATGTTTTCAATGATAATTCTTTCAATATTTTTTACAGTGCTAATTGAGTATTATACTTTAATTGGCGACCGTTAAATACACAGGTACTTTGTAGGTATTATGTGAATATCACTAAATAACAATAAAAAGTTATAACAAACAAAGTCTTATCAGTGAATTCATTATAACCATAATAAATTCATGGTTACACTTATGGGAGATTCTCAAAAGTAGGCAAACATTTGACATAGAGTTGGGAACAAAATATATTTGTGTAAATTATATCAACTTATTTATCGCCATAAACTATATTAGGGGGGAGGGGAGATTATAAATTTTTAATTTAGTCGCATATGTGTACAGAATTTAGTTTCATTGTCATAGAGTCTCAGAGAATTTAATTACATATAAAAAATGAAATTAGTTTTCAGATTAGATATGACCGGAAAGTAGGGCCTAAAATGAACTAAAATACATTATATACTATACATTATATACTGTACTTATTTTCACTGGTATTAAGATTAAGTAGTAATTGTTTAGAAAAATATACTTAACTTTATAATATCTTAAATAAATTGAAAGATTAATAGGAGTTTATAGATAAAAAGTGTATCATAAACTTGATTGATACTACGTGATTTACAATTGATATATCACCTGAGAAAATGTCTAATTTGTAAAAATAGTTTTATAATGAGTTATAAATGAATTAAGAAATAGTTTCTTATGTAGAAACCGTGAAAGAGTGTAGTCTTGACACAGAATTGTATGAATAAGTTGTGATAAGTCTTTTAATATCTGATATGAAATGTCATTTAGACTTTGTTTGCTTTCAATATATTGTACTCATACCATAGCAGTATATGATTTTTTAAATCTCGATTTTTATAATGAAATCGAAATACTAATAAAAATACTAATACTCTAATACTTTGATAACGAGTGTACAAATGTGTGCAAATTATTGAGTAATACTTAATACAATTATTTGTGATTTATTTGAAAAATAATCGTATAATAACAAAACACTAAGTTTATAATAAGTCGTGTCAATCAACAGTTACAGTAATAAAATATTTCATATAATGTGATTAAAATATGTAAATTTAGTTGTTTTCAAAATGAATAGATATAATAATTTAAGTATAACTTTGGTTATTATGAAACAATTGATATTCATTGTGTTTATTGTGGGAAATATTAACACAAATATTGATATACGAGTGAAGAATAGTTGGTCGGAAAGTAATCATAATATTGAACATAAGTCTCAAAACTGTGTGCGCGATGGGTTGAAGTTAAGGTGTCGGTCCACTACTTCAAAGCCACTGGATATGAAGTATGAGTTCCAGCAGTCTCCGGCCTCGTATCTCTCAGTAATTGATTGGTCAGCAAATGTAACCGACGGTGTCATACCGGCCAATGTGCTGACCATTGGGAGAGTCGATGACTTCACTATAAGTGCATACAATCTGCATAAAATTCATAAGCAAGCATTCAATGGCATTTTCAGCTGTAATAGAATTACACTGTTAGGGGACAGTCCCATACAATTGCGAAACGATCCCGATACTGGATATGACCTGTACAAGGCATTTTCTCATGTTAAAAGTATGACTACTCTATCCATAAACTTGGAGTGGTATGGCGAACATGACATACCCTCGTATGCATTTGATGACAATACTTTACTTGAAAATCTTACATTTGATGGCAAATATACAATATCCAGAATTAACAATTACACTTTTTCATTCCTTATGGCAATCAATGAAATTACATTCAAAGTGACACAAATTAAATATATATCACAACATGCTTTCGATATTAACTTTAAATATGGGCGCTTTCTTAATCTGAATAACACTCGACTATCAGACAAAAGCATAGAAGATGATGTTGTGTTTAAATTTTCACGGGTTAATTTAGGTATTTTATTCATTGGGTTCTAATTTTTTATTTATTTCTAATAATTATATCAAATTTTACATAGATGACAATAATTTCCATTATATAAGTGAAAACAAATTTAAAAATTATGTGGATCAACCCCAAAATTCACTTTGGATTAGGAGGAATAATTTATTATGTGGTTCACAGTATAAAAGTAAATATGATTGGCTTCTTAACAATAAACCTAAATATAGACACCGAGTTTTGGCTGATTGTAGTAATGGTGACTCCATTTGGGTCTATGATTGGACTAAAGGTTTGATTTTTGCAGATTAAAAATATAATTTAATTAATTATTAATTATTAACTCATTAGAGGGTAATGAGACGGAAATGTGTAGTAGTAAGGGTGAGCGGTGTTGGTTGGATGACTTGGTCGATACCCCTATTGAATCGGTGGATGCGTTGACCAAATCATTGCAGACTTTGGTGGACAACACGCGCACTAATAACAGCTTGAATTTAATGAGTCATTTGGGAAAAGCAATGAAAGTTGTGATCAATTTGCAGACTTTCCTTCAGGTCAATGGATCCCAAGTCGAGCCTTCCATTGCTTTCGACGTTTCCGAAAATTTTGTGAAAACCTTCAGTCAAGTGATAGACCAGTCGTTTGCGTGGAGTAACGGCTCCGACACCGAGCGGTTGGAAACGGCGTCTCAGCTCTTACTGTATATCCAATACACGGCTTTCTCTTCCAATTGCTATTTAAGTCCATTGAATGACACGAAAGAGTTTGACAGCAAAAATGTCTTTGAAATGCATTACTTCAATAAAACGGATAAAATTCTGTTTGAACACAACTCGTCTTCAATACTAATACCGGACGGCATTGTCTTCAGTGACGCCGACTATAGCCAGTCGTGTCAGAAGAACACTGATTTCGGGGCTCTTATACAGGGATTGGAGAAGCATTTGAGCAAAGAATTAATGGATAAACAGGAAATCAATACCGAAATAATCGCTTTCAGTATTAATAACGCCAACGGAACTCATAAACTCGACGATGGCAAGAATGTGAGAGTCAGGTGCGGCACCAGTAGACAACATTTTGTCAATTTAAGCATATCTTACGTTAACTAAAGTGAATAATAAATTTGTCTGATATATAGTTTGAAGCACAAGAGCAAGATCAATTTGGGCGATGCTGTGGACTGTGTTTTCTGGGATTTCGAGAAGAATGAGTGGTCTTCAGAGGGCTGTAAAGTGATCACCAGTGCCTCCAATCGCGACACAACCGTCTGTGAGTGCAAACATCTGACAAACTTTGCGGCCCTAATGGACACCACCGGCAGAGAGGAGAACGGGTCGGCCAAGAATGCGGTCACTCTTGTGTTTTGCGCCCTTTCCGTCATTTGTCTCATAATCACAATCGTGTTGATCACGAGAAAGGATTTATTGATTTTATTGCAAAACAAATTTAATAAAACAAAGACCACTAAAAGGAAGGCTTACAACGAGATAACCAAACAATTGCTCAAAAGGCGAGATTTAATTGTATTGAATCTCAGCATTTGTCTATTGATCGCAGACCTGCTTATTATGGTAGGAATGGACAGAACAGAAGTTGCAGTCAGTATCATATAATTACAAATGTTAAGATTTATTAAACGATTTGAATATAACATTATTTCACTTATCGTTTCAGTCGGTTTGCAAATTGCTGTCATTTGTATTGCTGTACTCCTTATTGTCGTCATTCCTTTGGATGCTGTTACAGGCCTTTCATTTGTTTCGTATGACTTATAATGTGTTTGATGAGGGCATCAAACTCTACTTGTTTATGATATTTGCGTATGGATTTCCATTTGTTATTATTCTCATTGGATTATTAAATGTATGGACTGATGAACAGCCGTTTGGTGAGGCACTCGTCGGCAATGACTTCTTGTAAGCATTTAATTCTTAATGTATTCATAGTTTGACTTCAAAATCTTTATTTTATTTATTAAATAGCTGTTGGATATCATCACCGAAACACCCAAAGAATGTTTATATATTAATTGGTACTATTTTTTATATAGTTATTGATTTTATAAATAAATTCTTATTATTCTGTTTGTTATATAATAGGTCCTGTAGTGACAGTAGTGGCGGTGAATCTTATTTTTATTGCATATCTAATCCACGAAATATTCAAAATGAAATCTTCTGTTAACAAACGACAAGTGTTTGGATTCTTATTATTATTACTCAATTCTGGTATTTCTTGGTCTTTATTCCTATCATATATGCATCGTTTGAGTCCAATTCCTGTTGCCTTATCCTATGTCTTCATTGTGATGAATGGTTCACAAGTAAGTGTCACATAAAATACAATTTTGTTACGCAAATTGATTATATTCTTGCATTTTAGGGAATATTTATATTGATATATCAATTGGCAATACATTTGAATTAATTGGAAAGCTATTAACTCAGTCATGACATCAATCTTAATCATTGTTNTCTTATAATCACTCGATTGACACACAATTAGTTAATTAGTATCATTAACTTAAAGAGCAATTAGCATTAAAACTGAACTTGCTCTACGGCAGTAGGACATTATATCGATTCTCATGATCTGTTAATTATTTTAATAAATTATCCATTGACTCATTTATGGCTATATATCACCACTTTTGTAGAATTCATCAATTATTTCCAATAATAATATACTTAATAAAAAAATCAATGGACACTTTATCTCATAATAGCTAATAAAAAGCATTATGTATTAAATATTTAATACAGTACATGAAGCCAATGAATTAATAACTGGGGTATTTTTGTAAACGACATAACTTCAATCAGATTAATAAGTAAAATAATAAAAATATTAATACAAGAAATGTCTTGTAATATATAGTTATTAGACTGTATCTACAGTATAATGTAATTTATATAGTAAGTAGCATATATATTGTATTTTCATAGTATCTTGTAATATTTTTATTAAAATAAATTACAATTTAGATAAGATATAACAAAATACATACAGTATCTGTGTTTTGAGATTAATTTCCCTTTTTAATAGAAATCTCATTCTTAATATGATTGTAAACATTTGGAAAAATTTAATATAAAATAATAACTATTTATAATAAATCTGAAGAGTATTTAATGTTTACTTAGTTAATTAAAAATGTTTGATTTGTTTATATAAGTTGTACTGCAACAAGTTTGAAACAATTTTCGCAACAAATATTTGCACTCAAATCAAAGTCACTGTAATAACTCATGATTTTCCATATAAAAGGTGTAATAAAATAATTTTTGTAAAAACCTATCACATATTTTGTGATAATTTAAGTTTATTATTGAGATGTCAAATGAAATCGTTAATATAATCATTTTTACGACATGTTTAAAGTTTATATTTCTAAAATTTCTTAATTAAATGAACTAAAAATGAACTTTCAATTAAATTTCTTATAAAACATGTTAAATGCAGTAAAACATGTAATTTTAATAATTTTGACGACATTCCTAAATGATGACTATTATTATG